AGTGCTGGAGTTGGTCCATGGAGGTGACTGCCATTGCTTTCATGTGTATTGGGAGATGGGAGTAGGTAGCCCACCCCAACTCCATGAAAGCCTGGAGATTTAAGTCACAAAACCCGCATGCCTGAATTTTCAGCAGATTATATCTTGGTCCGGCAGAGTCTGGCAAACTCCCCGTTGGTGTACCCAATATGCCAAATACCAGTAATAATGATGGGTCTCATTCTCCCAAAAGGCCTTGAATATAATCTCAGGGCTAAGATAAAGGAGACGTTACTGGGGCCTGCTCGAGGCAATCGACGAATAACAGGATGGTCGTGATTCGTGATATCTTGATGAGGTCCATCCTGAGACAGTGGAGTCAGGCTGGGGGCATGGTGGTGATTTTGGATTGTGAAATCAAGCGACTGCTGGGGGCTCTGCTTGGGCAGGCACAGGCCATCCTGCCCCCCTTCAATTTACCCAGGTCTGTTCAGCCATGTGTGGGTCCGAGATTAACTGTGACTTTTGATCTCTTTTAAGATTTGTCTATGGGTCTCTGAAATAAGGCCAATAAATGAGCTTGTTTAGCTGAGCTAGAGGTGGTTTGTGGGGATGGCTCCCACATACCAAACTTTTGGCCATTTAATTTCTTGGTGAACTTGGTCCCAAGTTGTTGGGGTACAGCCAAAGGCACAGCAGCAATTTGGGAGTGTCAGGAAGTCTGAAGGCACCATCAGACTGCTGGCACTTGCCTCACAGGTACAGGTTGACCTGTTGGTGGCACCATATCCCCTATTTTCTTAATTTCTATTGTGGGTATTTGAATTATTTTCTTAATTTAATTGTCTAATTTTTTCTTTCCTTCTACTTGCTTTGAAATTTATATGTTATTCAGGTTAGGTTATTTAATTGAGTTTTTTTTTTGTAATATAAATCTGTATTGCATGAACTTCCTCCTTAGTTCTTACAGTTAAAGAATTTTTTAATTTTGGGGCTGGAAAGTTAGTGTAGTGGGTAGGGTGGTTGCCTTGCACATGGCTGACTGGGTTCAATCCCTGGCATCTCCTCTTGTCCCCTCCTCTTTGCCCACCAGAATGATCCTTGAACACAGTGTCAGGAATAAGTCCTGAGCACCATTGGATGTGGCCCCCCAAAAAATCCTCCTACCCCCCAAAATATTATGATTTTTCTATACTCTCTCACAGTCCCATCTTAAGTATTGTGTTGTTTCAGATATACATGAATATATTCTAATTTATCAAGGTCAGATTTTATCCCAAACAGAAACAGTTCATGCGGTCTATCAGGTATATTTACAGTTGATTGCCATCCAAGTTCTCTTTGGTGCAGCCTTCATATAAAATTCTGTTAATATCAATGCAATTGTTGCAAGGGTCTAATTGCCTTAGGCAAATTAGATTATATTTACCTCATGTGAAATTTCAGTAAAGTAAGTAAAGTAAAGTAAAGGCCCTCCCGTTGATCTTCGATTTGCTCGAGCGGGCCCAGTAACGTCTCCATTGGAGACTTTGTTGTTACTGTGTTTGGCATATCGAATACGTCACGGGGAGCTTGCCAGGCTCTGCGTGCGGGCGAGATACTCTCGGTAGCTTGCCGGGCTCTCTGAGAGGGGCGGAGGAATCGAACTTGGGTCGGCCATGTTGGCCGCGTGCAAGGCAAACGCCCTACCCGCTGTGCTACTAACACATCTTCCTAACCTTTTTCTTGTACATTGCCTATCCTGATTAACTTTCCCCTGCCTGCCTTTCCTAACATTTTTATTTTGTTTTATTTTATTTTATTTTTTGAGGAGAGGGTGGATGACAATTGGGTCACATCTGGCAGCCCAGGGGCCATTTCTGGGTCACTTGGTGGTACTCAGGAGACTATATATAGGCACCAGGTCTCAATCTAAGGTTGACTGTATGCAAGGCAAATGTCTTATCCCCTGTACTATTTTCTCTAATATTCCTTAGTGTAGCTAATGCTACTCTCTAAATTATCATATAGAAAGATAGCTTTATAACCATCCTTTTAAAAACAGAAATGCTAGTTGTTTATATTTGCATTTAGTGCAAAAGCATACTTATTTTGCAGAATTTGATTGTAATTATCTTTGTGTCAATATTTAGCCCTGGCCTTATTTTAGCCATTCTTGATAGGATTTATTTTTCTTTCTACAGTGCAGGGAATTTTTTACTCCTTGAATTTCACAAAAGCAAGCTACCTTTATGTAAACCAAAATTCCACTGTTGCTTTCCATTTCACATCCATTTTTACTTTTGATAATCTTTTTCCTGATTAAATAAAATTCTCTAGTCTGTCTGTAAACATTCAAGCAAAGCCATAGAAAGTGACACATAATGGTACAAAGTTTTTGATCCTGTTGCCAGGTGTTTTCCCATTGTAGATAATAGTCTTTTACATGCCAGCAACTGTGGAGGAGCTTTTAGTGTTTTCCAATTGAAAGTAGTATTAGTGTTTCCTTACATGGGATTCATTTGGTGGTGTTATTATATGGTCTGGGTTCTTACAGTTTTGTTGTTAAATCATCCTAATCTTTTGGCATGGGAAGACTTCTATCAGGTCAGCTCTATAGAAGGAAGAAATAAGGTACAGTGGGAGTTCTAGTTTAAATAGTCCTGTTAAGGAGGTTTACTCCATGGCTTAGAGGCCAGCTGCATGTGCTAGGGGAAAAGGCAGCTCAGATAGAGAAGGGAGCACCAAATAAAGGGTGTTGGGAGCATCCTCCCAGGATGGGAGATGCATGCTGAAAGTAGACTATAGACCGAATATGATTGCCACTCAATGCCGCTTTTGCAAACCACAGCACCCAAAAGGAGAGAGAGAGCAAAAGGGAATGCCCTGCCACAGAGGCAGGGGGGGATGGGGGGATGGGGGGTGGGAGGGATACTGGGATCCGTGGTGGTAGAGAATGGGCACTGGTTGAGGGATGGGTACTGCATCATTGTATAACTGAAACCCAAGCACAAAAATTTGTAAGTCTACAACTGTACCTCATGGTGTTTCACTAATCGTTGATTACCTCGAGCAGGCCCCAGTAACGTCTCCTTCATCCTAGCCCTGAGATTTTTTAAGAAAGTGCTATATTCAAGGCTGTTTAGGAGAATGAGACCCATCATTGTTACTGGTATTTGGCATATTGGGTACTAATAAAAATTTTTAAAAAATTAATAAAATAAAAAAATGGTCCTGTTAATTCTGTAGGAATTGGGGATGCACTCAGTCATTTAATTTCTAGAAGGGTAAGCCAGAGGCAGTTGGGAAGAAAAGGGAGGATTTTAACAAGGGAATGAGATTGAGCTAAAATTTTGAAACTCTGTGTCTCATTTTAACTTAGTGTTAGTTGTCCTTTTTACACTTAAGTCCTATCTGTAAATCATTTACAGAGTGTCTGATAAAAAAAATTGGTAAAGATAAACTAATTTTTTTGTTGTTGTTGCTTTTTGGATCACACCTGGCAATGCACAGGGGTCACTCCTGGCTCTGCGCTCAGGAATTACCCCTGGCAGTGCTCAGGGGACCATATGGGATAAATGGATGACAGAATGTCTTAAATAATGATGGGGAAAGCCACCCCTTATGCCTGTTGCTTACGCTGAGGTATGAGTCAGGAGAGATTGGTGGTCATGTCAGATGAAGAAAGCTGCAAAATAATGAAATTAGGAAGCATTGTTTTACACTAAGAAAAATCAAAGTGTAAATTTTAACCTTTCATGGCAAAATTAAGACAAACTTTTTCCTTACAAGTTATATACTTCTTTTTAGTTTTATTTAAGAAATATGAGAAGGGTCAAAAAGATAGTACAGAAGTAAGGTGCTTGCCTTGCATGTGACTCGCATATTTCAGTCCTTGGAACCATACAAAGTGCCCTAAGCAATACCAGCTGTTGCCCAATCTCCTCTCCCACCCCCCAAAAGTGAGGAAATATGAGGGAATGGGAGAGAGAATCCCATAAAGTAAAGGGAATGAAATGTACCACAAGTTGGGGTACAGATGAATACAGAATAAAGTGCATAACTTTATTTATTTTGGAAACTAGAATTCCCAAATAGTGGGATAGAATTAGACCCTTTTGTACTTTAAAAAAATTTTTTTTTAATTGAATCACCATGAAATAGTTACAAAACTTTCATGTTTGAGTTTCAGTTATATAATGATTGAACACCCATTCCTCCATCAGTGCACATTCTCTACCACCAATGTCCCTAGTATATACCCCCCTTAACAAAACCTCCCCTCTGCCTCTATGGCAAACAATTTCCCTCATACTCTCTCTCAACTTTTTGGCATCATGGTTTGCAATAGAGGTACTGGGAGGCTATCATGTTTGGTCCTTTATCTACTTTCCGCACACATCTCCTGTCCTGAATGATTCCTCCCAACCATCATTGACTTAATGATCCCTTCTCTATTCCAGCTGCCTTCTCCCCCAGCTCATAAGACAGGCTTCCAACAATGGAGCAATAGGCCTTTGTGCCTACTGTCCTTGGATGTTGGTCTCATATTATGTTATATTTCACAAATTAGTACAGTGATTCTATGTCTGTCCCTCTCTTTCTGACTCATTTCACTTAGCATGATACTCTTCATGACCATCCACTTATAAGCAAATTTCATGACTTCATCTTTCCTAACAGCTACATAGTACTCCAAATACTATAAAAAGTTTCTTTAACCGGTCGTCTGTTTTCGGGCATTCAGGCATTGTATTTTTTTACTGTAGTTTTCTACTCAAGATTACAACTTAAGGAATACTCACTACAGGGTTTACAATCTTAATATTTGCCATTTTACAGTAGGTAGCACTTTAGTAATGAAAGTTGTATGGACAGTAATCTTTAAAGATTTATTAGCGTCTCAAATTTAAGAATGATTGAAGGGTTTTTTTCCCATTATCTCCCTGAGTATGTTGCTATTAATATCCTTAACTGATTTGTAATAATAACTAATACAGAAAGTGTTTCATAGGCTCATATAAGACTCATTTTCCCCCCAGGCAAGTGAAAATTACATCCTGTCAAGTGATACCAGGTCACAGCTAAAATTTCTTGAAAAGCTGGATCAATTGGAGAAGCAGAGAAAGGATTTAGAAGAAAGAGAAATGTTACTTAAAGCAGCCAAGGTAAGGTCCTATGTGATTTGTAAGTGAACATAGGAAAGGAGGGCGGAATTGCTTTTATCATTGGTTGATTAGTTTGTTTTTATTAGGTATTGGGAGTTTCTCAAGTATTTCTTAAAATGAAATTATTAATAGAATCTTTCCTAGCCAGGTTGTATGGTATAGAAGTTGTCAGTTAATTTAGTTTAATAAGACATAACATCTATGCATAATATTTTATATACAACAAACACTGTCCTCCTGTTGTTCATCGATTTGCTTGAGTGAGCCCAGTAACGTCTCCATTCTTTGGAGACTTATTGTTACTGTGTTTGGCATATTGAATACCTTACGGGTAGCTTGCCAGGCTCTGCCGTGTGGGCGAGATACTCTCGGTAGCTTGCCATGCTCTCCGAGACGGGCGGAGGAATCGAACCCGGCTTGGCCAGCCTGGCTGCGTGCAAGGCAAATGCCCTGCCGCTGTGCTATCGCTCCAGCCCTTATTTTTTTTTATATATATTACATTTTATATACATTACATTACATTTTTTATTTTATATACATATAATCTTATATCCTTATTCGTAATTCCTTTTTTGCCTTGCAGCATACTTACCATCACCCACCACCAATCCACATGTACATTTTTTGTAAAATTTTCAAGGTATTTTTAAGGATACAATTTGGTAGGTGCCATGCTGAAGATAGAGATGAAAATGTGAAAAGTGTCTGGAAAGGTCATTTGTTGGGGCTAGAGAGACATTACAGTGGATAGGGAGCTTGCTTGCATGTGGCAAACCAAGGTCCTGTCTCATCAGAGTGATCCCTGAGTGTAGAGCCAAGAGTATGCCCTGAGCAACACCCCGCCCCCCCCATTAAACATACATGTAATATATGTGTGAGTACATCTGTGTACATACATAAAATATATTTCTTCTTAGGAAACAGGCAGCATTCAGGGAGCTGGAGAGAGAACATGCTTTGTTACCCTCGTGGGCCAAGCAAGATTCACACCTGGAGTGCCAGTTTGAGGCTTTGATTATGCTAAAATAGGGTCTGCACTTGCAGAGACAGAGGGGAGCATGCAGGATCAGGCTTTCATATGCTAGAGTGAGTGATATATTACACTCGTGCCAGGGTGAGACAACACACAGATTTGTTAAAAACAGTCCTGGGATTTGGGCATCCCCTGACTTGATTGTGGTAAGAACAAAAAGGGGGACAGGAATTAGACTTCCCTTCACAGGGAATCAGGCTTCTCTTCTCAATTGGTACCAGATTTCCCTTCACTTGCATGCATGCACACATTATTATTTAAAAATTGTATGTTCACATGTTGTTTTACCCTTATGAAGTAACAAAAGAGTTTGTCTTGGTTTGGGCTGAAATGAAATAAGGAAAAATTGCTAGATAGAAATTTAGGTCAGTATTTATGATACTTAGAAGGTATTTTAAATACTTAAATATACCCTAATTATTGTATTTTCTTTAACAAAAATACTGTTTATCCATTAAATGTCAGGTAAAGTAAGTAAATAGAAAATATACAGTATTTTATAGAAAAATATTAGGATTTATGAGAAGTTAAGATAACTTTGTTAGAAGGTAAGGAAAATCTATATCAAGTGGACATGTTCATGAACAGAAATATAATTCTTATTATAGCAATGTATGGTGAAGGTTGTCCTTTCATACCAATTCCATAAGAAAGTTCATTTTCTTGAATATTAACCTTTTAATACGGAAGGTACCACTCAGTAAACATTTATTGAACATTTATTTGTGCACCACATTGTCTTTTGGAGGGTAGGGCTCACTCGGTAGGTAGTTCAAAGCTTACTCCTGGCTTTGTGCTCAGGAATCACTCCTGGCGGGGGACATGGGACCATGTGGGGCTCAGAGGATTAAAGCCTGATTGATCACATACAAGGCAAGTGCCCTGCCTGTTGTACTATCTCTCTGGCCTGAGTTCTTAATTTTAATAGTTATTGAAATATATTTTTCCAAAGTATCTTCACCAAAGATTAAGCCTGTATTTATTGTTTTAATTCATCTGAGCCAACAATTATACTTCTTTTCCTTTCCATGATCCATGCTATTTGTTTTTAAGTTTTAGTGTTTCAACAAGAACGTCATGCCTTGACTGGACCTGACTGACATTGTTAGCATCATTTGCAGTATAAGCTTCCTCCAGGCTAGAACTGCAGCAGCCAGCCCAGATGATGAGAGGGGTGGGTGTGGGGGGCACCATAGGAGGGAGTGCACCAGACTGGATTGAGGCATTTTCCCCTGGAGCTAAGATTTTCAATCACAAGAGAAAATTGTCGTTTATTAAATATTTAAGAGTAACTGTGGTGTTTAGATACTAGTAATTTCTATTAAATTTTTCTTTTCCTTTGATAGAGCCGTTCTAATAAAGAAGATCCAGAACAGCTGAGATTAAAGCAGAAAGCCAAAGAGGTAGGACTTTCAAGTCACCGTGCTTGTCTTTGTGTTTGAGGGAAGGTTGGCAGCTCTCTCTTGGCAATTAGGTCAGGGTTTATTTTGCTGTTGCATACCATTTGCAGAAGCCTTGGGGAAGGACAGGAACTGCTGAAGGCAAGGGCAGTACTTCAAATGAGGTCAATGAGTTATGGGTTCTCTTTTTAAATTTTATTTTCAAGGTTTAGGCCTGTCTAGAAATGACTCTTTGTAAACTACCGCAGCATACTTGGAGGAATATAATGTGGGATTAAAAAAAAGAAAGAAAGAAAGAAACTTTTGAGATTTAGCATCTGGGACTGTACAATAGGCTACATTTTTCCAGGGTAATTGTTCGTTTTGTAAATCTGATACTGCTTATAATTCTTTGGCTGGGAGGCGGTACTGGGATTTAGTTTTAAATGGAAAACGCCTCTGGCTTTTAATTTTCTGGGCCCAGCAGTTTTCTGTTCTGGAATGGAGCCCTTGTTTCACACAGTTCATGTTTAGCTGCAGGGGTTTTAGTTTATAGCTTAGACTGGTTAAGCTTTTACTCCCAGAGGCCTCTGCATAGCAACTGTAGAAATCAACAAATAAGTTCATTTATGTCTGCAGCCTCCTCTCAGTAGCTGACTTTTTACATTTCCCAATATCCATTTCCTGACTTTTCTAGCCCCAGAGAAAAAAGCTCCACTAATTGGAGCTTATTTTAATTGAGCCTTAATATTGGATCTCACTGGAGTTGCCCTCAGAGCTGCTGAGAACAGAAGGAAATGAAAGTACCTTGGGTTGAAGATGTGGTGTGTGTATGGGTGGGTGTGAGTGAAATTTTTCACTTGACCTACAGATTCTTTTCCCTGTTGAATAAATCATCAAGCCTGTTCACATTTCTGATTAAGGATCTGACAGCAGATGATAATAAAGACAATTGAGGTGTGAGACGTGTGATATGGAGCTGAAGAAATTGGTTTCTATAGTTACTTGACTGATTTCATGCAATTTTTAAGGATCTTTGTGCTAAATAAGAGTGATTTCCTGAGCAACCTTTTTCCTTAACTGTGCCTCTTGAACTATGAAATTTGTTGTTGCTTAACATTCCTGCACCCTCAGTTCCTTAGGTGCCAGGAGCAGCAGGTTATTTATGAATGTTTTAAAGGCCCTTATTGTTTGGATTAATGTAGGAGCTGAGGCAAAACAAATGGAAATCCAGTAAGATTTTTACAATCAATGTGTGGTGTATTTTTATTAAATAGAGAAGGTAAATACATGAAGTCTAGATGGAGGCGTTTCTGGATTGAAATGAAAACTGGAAAAGGAGAACATTAAAAGGGATTGAAACCAGAAACATTTCAATAACAAAAAAAGTCTCACTTCTTTTCAGTGGAAATTTTATCTAAAAAATACTAGCATAAAATTAATATGCGAACCCTGTAATCCTCTTTAAGCACAGCTGGCTTGTTGATAGAATATTTGGAGATAGGCAACCTATTGTCCTGAATCATGAGAATCCTTCTGTTTTAATTAAGGACTCAGCTGATTATCTTGTTGTCTGATTGTACCCATTTTGGGGAAAATATATCAGAAAGCTTACCTTTTTTTTTATGAATCTTTTTGTTCTTCCTTCATAAACTGTCATGAACATCTGGATTATAGATTACTTTTTTTTCCTTCAGGTTTGTATGGAATTATTTTCTTTGGTTTTCCTTTTAATATCATGTAATCATTCCATGAGAAATTAATATAGGTGGACAGAAAGTTTGTATGATAGTTGTAAAATAGTAAATGTGAAGAAACAAAAAAAAAAGAAAACATTGCTTAAGGAGAGCAGGTGGTATAACACATCAATTTTTTTCCCACTCTGTCTGATACCTCCAGTTTTTACCTTCCAAGTTTAAAAGATTCTTTACAAAGTATTTTGAAAGTTTTCTAGATGCTTCCTGTCCTAGATACCCTCGGATTTAAGTGCACACCATCGCGCGCGCGCGCGCGCACACACACACACACACACACACACACACACACACACACCACATCATCACATTCAAATATAATGGTCCCAGTACCAAGACAGCCATTTCATGTAAATATTTGATGAAAGTAGAATATTGTTTTTGTTATCTACCTGCCCCTTAGTACTCTTAATAGTTGATATACTAAGGGGCTCCAATTTAGAATCAACCATAAATATAAGGATAGTGATGCAGGAGCAGTGACAACGGGTCTCTGTTCGTTCACGATTCCCAGGTTCTTTAATAATTTCAAGAATGAAAATACTGAGTAATAAAGATGCTTAGACTCACAGTTAGAAAAATTTATTGGAATGTAAAGGAAGGAAAAGGAAATCCCCAAGTGGGGAAGAACTCAGTATAGGACTAAGTTAAAGGTAAGGAGTTTCCTGTAGGCCCTTTTAAAGGCTTCTTGCATTTCTTATCACTTGGCAAGTATTCACAAAAGACTCCAGAAAGTCAGAGGGATGTTGACCTGGTCTAAATCTCTCCAGGCATTATTGCTTCTTATCTTAGTCTCTCTGCCAGCCTAGGCTCCAAGGTAGAGCTTTATGGTCCTGGAAAACTCTGTGAATGCTGAGACAGGGCCACAAGATCTTGAAGATGAAAAATGTGTGTTAGGTACATGGGAAAAGAGAAGGCAAGAGGAAACTCTGGCTTCCTATTTCACTGGCAAGGGAAAGCAAATCTCCAGGCATTATTGCCCATTATCTCAGTTTCCCTATCAGCCTAGGCCACAGAGCAGTGTTTTATAGTCCTGGGAAACTCAGGACCTCTGAGACTTTTAAATTGAAATGGGTGTCAGGTCTATGGGAGACAGATGGAACAGTGGCCAAGAGGAAAATATTGCTTACTCTCAGTAACATTTTGGTTGCAAAAATCATTGACCCTCTTAGTAGAGAGTCGAATTGTTCTTTATATGATAATTTGTGAATCTGTCTTCTGGTTATTGTTATTTTTGAGTCAGACCTGATGATGCTCAAAGGTTACTTCTGGCTCTGTGCTCAGTAATTACTTCTGATGGTGCTTGAGGGACCAGATGGGATTCCAGGAATTGAACCCTTGTGGGCCGTGTGCTAAGCAAGCACCCTATCCACTGTATTCTCGCTCTGGCCATGTAAGGTTATCTTTTGGGATATATTGTTCTCACTGAAACCTTTGATTTGTGACTGTTCAGTATTTACTTGTCTGGAAATTTTTCTTTATTCAGTTGTAAAAATTAACATTTATTTCTTTTTTTTTTCATGGTAGATTTTTTTTTTAATTTTTATTAGTGAAATACCGTGAGGTACATTGTAGACGTACAAATTTTTGTGCTTGGGTTTCAGTTATACAATGATCCAGTACCCATCCCTCCACCAGTGCTCATTTTCCATCATTTACATTTTTTTTTTAAATTTTGTTAGTGAAACACCATGAGGTACAGTTGTAAATTTACAGATTTTTGTGCTTGGGTTTCAATTGTACAATGATCAAACTCCCATCCCTCCACCAGTGCCCATTTTCCACCACCACGGTTCCCAGTATCCCTCCCACCCCCTATACCCCCATCCCACCCTGCCTCTGTGTCTGGGTATTCCCTTTTGTTCTCTCTCTCCTTTTGGGTATTGTGGTTTGCAAAAAAGCATTGAGTGGCAATCATGTTTGGTCTATAACATTCATTTCTTTTCATTCTTTTTATTTATTTATTTTTATTTTTTAATGAATCACCATGAGGTACAGTTACAGACTTACAAACGTTCATGCTTACATTTCAGTCATCATCAAGTACCCATCCCTTCACCAGTGCCCATTATCCACCACCAATGATCCCAGAGTCCCTCTGACCACCTCCACCCCATGCCCCCTCACCCCCACTTCTGTGGCAGGGCATTCTCTTTTGTTCTCTTTCTCCTTTGGGTGTCGTGATTTGCAATAGAGGTCTTGAGTATGACCTTCATTTAAATTGATTATTAAAGTATCATGATGTATTAATATGTAATATTTTATTTAAAAATCAAATATTTTTTCATTACTTTTATTATAGAAAATCTTGCTAATTTAATTTTATTCTTGAAGACAGTTCATAAGCATAATTTTTAACTCAAATTCAGACTTTAATCCAAATATTGGCATTCACTTCGAGCACAAGGAGAATTTCCATACAAGACATTATCTGTGAAATGGAGAGAATAAATTTTCATATTCTGAGCTTCACTCTCAGTCCATATACAGTTTAAGATGCCCTGAGCTTTCTGGTAAAAGGTCTTTCTCTAAATTTCTTTTGCTTCCTGGTCACCCACTTGTAATCGATCATTTTTATCAACTGAATTTGCATATTTCTCAAATATGTCTGTTGTCACATTCAGGCTCTCACTGCCTCGGTCCCGAATGTTGCCTTTACTTAGATGCTCAGTGATCTCATAATCAGACTTCTCTGGTCCAGTCTCTGCAGAGACTACCACATTGTGCAAAGGCTGATCTAGTTATATTTCTTTCATGGATGGGACTTTCAAATGCCCATCACCAACTGTGATTATGGGAGAAATTCTAGTTGAAGGATATCAGATGCAGAATGGTCTTTATCTTTCAAATTCATTTTTATCAGACTTTATTCTGTATAACGTTCATTTCTTATAGTTACTTGATTTAGATCTGCTTTGCTTTCCTTTTCCATTTAACTGCCTACAAAAGTGGTCCTAGGATATAGATTAATGGTAGTTTTCTTACTGTAGATGTTTGAAAAAACATTTAAAGAATAGGTATAGGCTTTTTAAATTCTGAAATGTTTCAGTGATGGTATTTGTCATATAAGTACTAGCACTCAATTTGAATCCCTTTTATACATAAGCTCATAATACATGGTTGTTTGCATTTAAAATGTTAAGGACTAGATTTTTGGTCTTGACATTTCTATGGTTTTTTTTTTTTTCGTCTTATACAGTATGTGTTAGGGCAAACTGCTAAATCTAGAAAATTTTTGTGATGCTGTCTAATAATTTCTTTTTATTTTTC